GTAAAAATCGAGATTCTTATCTTTTAAGTTTCTGAATCGATTCACCATTTTAAAAAAAATATGACTTTTAAAATTCTTTCAAAAAAGAACTGAGATATTGCGAATGATAAAGAGAAATCCGACACACAAAGTCAAAGTTGTGTCAAGCATTAAATTACAATTTACAGTGTTATTTTGTGTATGATTTATTTTTCAAATTAGCAAATTTCTGATAAATTTGTGTATAACTTGAACTTGTTAATCTCTAAGTCACTAATAATTAAGAAATACTAAAAACTTTTAAGTAAGAACTGTTTATTTGTGCAGGTTTAGCATGAATAAATGTTTCCTTTTGTTTCGGTGTGTTTGGTGTGCTGTTGCAATCAGTTGATTCAAACTTTGTCAAACATATAAAATCCGTAATCTTAGACAATCTTTACTCTGCTTTCATGCAGTCATTTGCCACGATGCCTTTATTGGCGCACAGAGGACTGGATCCTGAAATTGCTGCGTTTCTTCTGCTGTAGTGGTATTTATTTTTTTCCTGATTAGTCATGCTGTTTAATTTAACCTTAGAAAGACGCTCGCATGCTGTGGAAGATTTACAAGGCCTACATAACGGGGCTGTCCTCGACCAAAAACATTCTTGTCGACTAATCAATTAGTTGATTTAATTCACAGATCTGTAAAACTGAGTTTCACCATAAAGAGTCACACAAAAGCCCCACTTGAACATCTTGTGAGACGTGCTCAGAGGTTTCTTGGAAATACGTCATTTAGCATTAAAAATCACTGATTGACTGAAGACAAAGACCAAAACGACCGATTAGACGACTAAAAGGTGGCAGTCCAACATGAAAACAAATCAAGCAAAGAAATAAAGTGAAATACGCGTTTATATGTTTTTCTTACGATGTATTTGCTGTGTCATGATATACTTTTGGCATGGACAATATGTCTCCTTTGCAGAAGAGAAAAAGCTCCCCCGCAACACAAACAACCCAGTTGTTAAATACAAAAAGCTGTATAATTGCCCCTTTAACAAGTGTTTTTTTATTTAATTATGGCACAGTAAATGCATACTTAAAAGGGAAAACATATTACAATTGGTGTTATATTTCACTTTATTTCTTTGTTTTGATTAGTTTTTATACATTTTCCATAAACTCTGAGTTATTTTTTTATTGCATAAAATTGTTTTATTGCATAAAATCTAAAATCTATCTGGATTACTTCTTTGTTTTTGCAACAGAGAGAGAAAGAATAAAACAGCTTTATATCTAGTGCTTTGGATTTCAGTTAGAATCAACATAATTGAGAATATAATCAATTCAAATAGAATGTTGTTTATCTTAAAATATGATAGAAAAGCCATTTTACGTCACCCTTCACTTTTAAAACCTAGTTTTTACACCCGTCCTGTTTGTGGGAGCTGTAAGTGGGCCTGACCACGGTTAGTGTGTTTAGTTTAGTGCGTGTGACTGAACTGTGTGGACAGCATGAAGTATGGCAGAGGGGGAGTTGGCCAACCGTCCCACCGAGTCCGGCGCTCGCTGTTTGACTTGGCACCCCAACCAAGAGCCGTCCGATCCAAACACCGGAGGGCCGTTCACAGGCCATTACCCCGGTGATTGACAGCTCGGCCCACCACTCAGAAGGGCCGCACATGAAGGACGCCGCTCGTCGGTGCCAGGAGTTTGTCGCCAAGGGTGACGATCTGGCAGCTGATTGATGTGAATGTGAAAGTGTTCTCGTAGAGAGTGGATTTGGCCCTCCTCCTCTGCTGATTATTTTTCTTTTTTACCAGTCATACTTTCTTTTTATGGCAGCATCATCGAGGAACAGATTGATCATTATCGGCACTTACTGCAGCTGCGTCCAACAGGACTTTGCTTTCTTGCGTTTATACGACTCCGGTTGTATAAGCACTGCTCCTAACATTGTTGAGGTGGACGTAAACAGACTCTGTTAGAGTCTAACTCGGTCACGTAACCTGACTGATGATGACTTATAGGCCTTGATTATGTGTCATGATATAATTCAACAGTGGGAACTGAAAATCGTAGAATTACATCAACATGCTGCCAGACCTCTTCTCATGGTGAATACCAGAACAATGAGGCTTATTTTGGTTGCACAGGGTTTGGTGTTGCAGGAAACCATGTCAACAATAATAGATGACAATATCCAATGGGATGTATCTATATAGGATAGTATTACAATGCTTATACTACAGCCGCTCACAATAGGAAAGTATTATAAACCTTCGGGGGCCGAGGAACATCTTCCAAGACCCTGATTAAGCTTATTCGTACTACCATTTCTACTCTTAGATGCCATTGGAACTATTTGTATTCTAAAAATGTCGGACCTGTTTGATAGTGATAAACAGAAACACATTTAAATCGCTGCTCTCAATAGAATTGAATTCAAAATGTAGTCATATTGGCTCAAATAAGCGAGTTCAGGCGAAGCGACGATGTGGACTGACTCAAGTATTTCTCGCCGGATAGCTAGATGGTTAGATGGCTAATAAGCCAAGCTAAGCTGCAGTAGGTTTGCTGTAACCTGAAGTGACTGATTCAAGACTAGAAGATTGGCGGTTCAAGCCTGAGCACCCACTGTCTGCAAGTTGAAGTGTCCTTGAGCAAGACACTGAACCCAGTATTGCTCCTCGGGCGCTTTACAGCAGCCCATTGCTCCTAAAATGCTTAGGATGTTCACATTTCACATATATATCTGTATGTATATGACCATTGTTATAAAGTTAACTTTTTAATTATACAGCACAATTTTATAATTTATAGCAAATGAATTCATTCACCCACTGGCAGAGATACAAGTTTATGCACAAACAATTGGACGCAAACCTTAACTTTGCACTCTGACCTTAGAACAAAGTTGCACTACTTCCACCTTTTGTTCCACACAGACAGCAGTCGTGATTCACACGGAGATAAACATAATGTTTTAGGGATTTGAATGAAAGACGACTGCTGTAATTTTTGAGCAGAGTCTCCTATAATGTGTCCAAACTGTCCATCACCTGATTAGCGTGCACTCATGCTTGCTATTCCCAAGAAAGGGTGAGTTGAGGCTCGCTGGAGGCCAGATGGAAGTGCCGTCCTCAGCGTTTTCTCTGTTCTTGCTGGGAACACGGGCTCTGTGGCATTGGTTCTCACCATTAACGGGGCTTCCCTCCTGAATAGGCCCTGCCAAACTATGCAGCATCCCGCCGAGTCCAGAGATGAGGACATGGGCTTGCAGTGAAGCCTAGCGGTTCCTACTTCCTATCAATGACAAGAAGCATCAATCTTAGCCGCCCTTATTCCTGGACCCTGCCAAGCACGATTCCAGTGAGAAGGGAAAAAGCAAAAAGAGACTCAGGCTGCTGGAATCAAACAAAGGCTGGATTATCCTCTCAATATGTCTCTGAGCAGGACAGTTCATCTCTGAAACCCCCACAGTGCGGAGCGGAAGAAACTTCATAATTTTAGTGCTTGACTGTCGTAGATGCAGTCAGACTTCTCTTCTGTTTTCATTTCTTCTTACCTCTCTCCTGTCAGACTCATGCCTTGTCTGCAGACTGTCAGTTGTGTTGAGAGGGAAAATAAAGTTTGAATTAAAGTCCAACCCTGTTGCTTCCATTTAAAATCAATCCAAAATACCCCATTTAACAATGTATGTGACGCTTCCAAAAACATTCCCCCGTGACATTCATTCTCTCACACCTGCTAAAACTCAGCAATAACCCTGTTAAATAACGGAGGTGTGGAGCATTGCTCGGGAGCGGTAGTTTGCTCTGGGAGCTCCTCAGGGTTTCCCCAAACGCTTGAGGAAGTCCACCTCAGTTTCACTGATTGGAAAGGTGTCGGGACAGGTCGCGGTGCTCCTCTGCACACCTTCAGCGCTCAGCAGTGTGTTTGTTCAGGTGCGGCGGACCATCGGCCCATTGGGATGTTTGACTCCCTGCTGTTATTAAACAGAGAGAGAGAGAGAGAGAGAGAGAGAGAGAGAGAGAGAGATGTGGCTTTTGAAAGATATTCTCAAAATATAATGTCGTAACCTCACATTTGGCAAAATGCTTGCTGCTTGAACACTGTGCATTATGCAAAAGGTGCAAGTTGCAAATTGCAGATGGAGGTGCAAATAGCATTATTAATGAAATCTATTAGATAAAAAAACCCTAAAAATTCATTGTCAACAAGCCAAAAACAAGCTTGTGGCATGCATGCACGGGGACACACACATGCATGCATGCCATGTGTAATACAAGTTTAATTGATCCCTTAATCACAAATCCCATCACACGAGGCCGCTTCATAAAACTTAAACCTCGTTTAATAACTTTGGCTGCTTTTTTTTACTACAACAAGTACACCACTATACATAGTCTATACGGGGCTTTGTGGTTCTGCAATATTTGAAGGTTACTGTTCTCTCTTGTACGGATGCAGAGGCCAAAGTGGCCGGGAGGTGCCAAAAAGCACAGACTTAGACGGGGTGGTCCGGAAACAGGCCGGAGATCCAGTGAAACTTAACAAGCATGTTCCCTTTGGATGTTAAAATGAAGTGTAACACAGATATTAATGTAGCAAGTATCACAACACAGCAGAGGAATGTAAACTGGAGCACTGGGACATCAGGCTGGACGCTAACCAGCTGCAACCGAATACCCCCCCCCCCCCTCCCCCCTCCTCTTCCTCCAATGGCCAGCTACACTCAAGCCTCGGCGTTTCATCACGGCTGGCCAGGAGCGAGACCCAAATGGCTCCTTCTGGGGATGAAAGTGTCTCGTTACTCATCTGGGGAGGTTGATTGTTGAGATAAATCACTTGTGGTGATGTTAAAAAGCAGCTGAATGTGTGTGAGAGTTCAAGCCTCGCGTATGAATCTGGTGCTGCTGTTCGCTCTGTCACACATTAATGGGCAGGTTGGTTGAAGTGATAACCTCAAAAGAGATTTGGACTGGTGGACTCTTGTTTTCATGCTGTATCTTTGCATGTGTCATTTTTCTCCAGAGGTGTCCATCATCTGGGCTTCTCACCAGGTTCACCACAGTTCAGAGTACTACAACCTCGCCACTGCCCTCAGACAGTCCCTCACCCAGCAGTTCACATCATGGGTGAGATATTATTCATTCTGTCACAGCTAATTCTGTTAATTGTTATTATTGTCAACATGGAGCCAAGTATTGTCTCTGTAGCCAAAGACTGATGCATCTTATCCCTCTACACCTGGCCTGGTTCCTGACTCTGGCTGCTTAAAGTAGCGATAGCACGTTTATTGTGTTTGAGGAGCTTTTAGTGTCGCTTTGTGAGGCGTTTCATCTAGGAACTATTTTCTTTCTTCCAAACTACACCTGCCAACCGTGTCACCACAGAAGGAGAAGATGTAAAAATGAAAATGGCCTCCACGTCGGTTGAGCTGCAGTGTTAGCTAGCTCAGTGGTGCTAGGTGAGCTAGCAACATAGAGTTCATATGCAAGCTTCCTTCTGCGCGGTGATGCGGGTGTAGTTCAGTAGAAAGGAAATAGTTCCTACATGAAACTGCTCACGATAAGATCTGTGGATTATCTTGGGTCATGATTTCTGGAAAGAGACGTTGCTCTTGGTGTTTTTTAAACGTAATTATTTTGGTGCTTTGAGCACCACAAGCCGAGTGCCGTCTCGTTCCATTATACTGGAGGGCAGACATCTCTACGGCCCATATCTGCAAACCTGCATATCTGCAAAACTAGACAACTCACACCAATACTATACCAAAACTATTTGTTGATAAACAGCACTACTGGTTAGAGGAAAAACTGTCCCTCTACAGCTCCATTGTTGTCCAAAAACATTTCAAAGCACTATTTAGAGCCACACCGGTGCTCTGCGTTACATGAGGCAGAGTGCCACAGAAAGGATAGGAAAAGTCCAAAAGTATTGAGAGACAAACTATCACATTGTCATCACATTTGTTTTGTTCTTTTCATGGCATTTATTGACAATATCAAACATATATTTGCCAGCTGTATCCTTTTAAATGTACTCGGTGGAGTGTTTTGACCACTGGTGGCGGTTTAGAAGTTCCCATGTTGTTTGTTGTAATGCTCTAATCATTTCTATGTCACATTTTTGACAGATTGTTGATATTTACAGGACTGGCTGTAAAGCACTTGCTGTCTTCCTGTCTTTGTATTATGCAATATGTCGATAAAAGAGGACTTCTCTTCCTCCTCAGATTTTCTACCTTCCCATGGCTCTGATTGCACCCCCCACGGTCTTCGCCGTCCACATACAGTTAAACCTCCTCTACCAGTTCTGGATCCACACTGAGGTAAATATCTCAACACAGGTTACACATGCTCTCATTAATCTCATTAGTCTTTATCCTGAAAAGAGGAGAAAGGGGACGGTGTTGAAGGGTACATGGATGGCAACGTTTTACGTGTTTTGACCGTTGGACCGATGCAGTTAAACAACAAGTACCATCATTCATCGCCAGACACACGTCCTGTTTCATGTCTTTGGTTCAAACGCTGACTTTTCACCTGCAGTGTCAGGATAAGTAAAGATAAGATAATGAATCAAATGATCCCATTCTGGTGACCACTATATCTCTGGAACGCCTGGAGAGAGTTTTTCCAGATGTGGCACAAACGTCCACTTGAACTCAAACGTCATTGTGACCTCAGGAGACACTTTTTAAAATGACCATAACTAAAAAATGAATATGCTAATTATGACAATTTCACACAAATGTCTCATATGATACAATGATGACATTTAGGATAGACATGAATGTTACATTCAATATGTAAATATATTGTATAATCAGTCAAGATGTAGCACACGTGACTGTGTATGAATCTCTTAACGTCATTGTTGCTGTGCAAAGTTAAAAGGGAAAACCTGACTGAACAAAAGTCTGTAAAGTTACCGTTCTCGCTCTGCCAAAACTAATCCGTGCGCTAAGTCGACCCTTTGTAGGCTCGGAGTTGCAGTGGAACCTGTGTTCAATAAAAAATAATGAGATTTCATGAAATATTCCAAACAGAAGCATGACCGCTCTCTCCGCCTTTAAAGTGACGGGAGTATCACTTTTACAATCCCCACAATCTTGAGAGGGAATGAGTGGATTTGGAACGCCTTCCATCTTTTAGTGCACTATTAGTGCAAACAGTCGTAATAGTCACAATCTTCTGAAGGGATGTAACTTATGCCTCCTTTATGGCCTTTTTTTTTTTCTTCTTTTTTTTGATGTCGTGTAATTTATTGGTGCGCTATTCGCTGCGCCGCTCCAGCCTCAGAGCCCGGAGTGAAGCGGTGGAGACCTGTTTCATTCAAGATAAAACTCTCACGCTCGGCTGCCAGACGCAGCCATTACATGGAAATAATGAATCACCGAGGAATTCTGTCCAGCCGTGCACGTTTCTCCAGACTGAGAGGTCTCGTTCGTATCGATGCGAAACATCAAAATAATCCGAGAGTCGCAGCCTGAAGAGAAACATGAACTGTGAGAAAAATGCCGTGTTTGACCTCAGTAATCTTTAATGACTCACTGGTGCATCTGTTTGATATCTAAGAAGAGAAAGTGATTCATGTTTGATAGTTTTATGCCCAAAATGTGCTCATTCAACTGCATCGTCTCTTGAGATGTGCATGTTTTCTTCAGAGTGTTAATGGGTTTAACTCTACCAGCATTGTTCGCGTCTTTTTTTCTAATCCCACCAGTCCATGAATACGACTATGATTAGGAAAAAAGAATATGAATGTTTAGTAAGTAAGTAAGTAAGTAAGTAAGATTTATTTATAAAGCGCTTTTTACAGACATAAGTCACAAAGTGCTTAACAGGGGCAGAATTACAAACATAAAAGACACATTGTGACCATAGTTGAGCAACAGATGATCGGTAACTGACTCAGACTGTATCTATTGATTCCTACCAAAGATTTGATGGTTCTGGACTCCCAAATGTGAGGATTTTGCTACTTTGTCTCGCCTCATAATAAAGTAAACTGAATTTATTTGGGGTCGGGTTGTTGGTCAACTCTCGGAAATTGTGATGGTCAGTTTAATCCATTCTAGCGCCATTGGCTCCGTCTGTTGGTCAGTCGGTCGTTCCATCACTTTAGCGCAGCCTGAAATATCTCAACAGATGTTGGATGGACTGGTGGACATTCATGGTGCTTGCCTTGACTTTCCCCTCTGGCACCGCTAGCAGTTCAAGGTTCTCACTTATTCTGTGAGACATGTCAACGTCTGCTGTAGACAGAGTGTCTTTGGTGACCCCCTCACTTTTTGTTTCGTTAACATTTTTGTCCAGCTATAGGCATCCCCAAAAAAAAAACCTCCATGTAAATTTATGTTCACATTCATGCTCCCCAGAGGATGTACCTTTTCAATGTAGGACACATGGCTTTTCATCCTGTACCACCACCAGGACTAAATCACTTAGTCACACAATATACATCTCGTACTCTAAAAATCGTGTGGTGATGAAAACGACCGTTTTACATTCTACTTATGAAATATTGAATGTTCTGTATGTTATTATTCTATTTCAGCTGATCAGAGACCTTGGACCTCTGGAGTGGGTCTTCAACACCCCGAAACACCACCGAGTTCATCACGGTGAGACGAGCGTTATTTTATGAAGGAGAGTGACAATCTATTATTTTTGTTTCATAAAGATTTAGTTTTAGTTCATGCCATGTGTGTGATGGCATCAAACGTGTAATAAAAGCTGATTATGTCTGATTATAGTTATGTTCATGGTCAGCTTACAAGTGTCTGAGATAATGGAATTGGCTTCCAGAATTAGAGATTTGTTTTTCTTTACTTTTTCACAATAGTTAATTTCTGTGGTCATCTCACAAAATATTTTCCCAACAGGGAGGAACGAATACTGCATTGACAAGAATTACGGAGGAATACTGATCATATGGGACCGGTTATTTGGTGAGCAACAGCATTCAGACATTTGTGTCTGTGCCTGATTATCTTTCCAGCGGCTCCGTTTAGTCACTGCTAACTAAGTATTACAGTAGTTCTGTACGTCAGTGAGTTTGTGTCAGAGAGCCGGATCAATACCAAAAGTATCGCTACTGCAATACTTGCATGTTTTACGATCAATACTAAATATAAACAATGCTGTCTCACTTTTCTTTGTTTTTCTTCCTCCTTTCACTGATATAATTTACTACTAAATGACAGTATATCGCCACCTACTGTCAAAGAAAAGATTTACGACGGCGTATTACGTAGACTCAACTTTGCTGATATGTAGCCACACAGAGAGTTATGATGCCAGAGTTATGGATTTGAAGTTCTGGATGAATTCACTTTTATTTGTTGTTATTATTATTGTTCAGCGTCATTAATATCTTTTTCACATCCTCCTGTGTACCGTTGAAGTCGTGAGTTTATGAGTGAACTTGTTGTGGTGTTTGTGGTGTTCGTATCTGTATTAATGTCTGTGACGTCTGCCCTCTCATTACTTGATACTGACTGGAAACCAAAAGTTGTGGTATATGACCTATTATAACAGCAAAATGAAGGGAAACGGGGACCCTATAAGCTATTTAGGTTTGCCTTTTTACTCGAGTCAGCACTTTTGCACCAAACGTCAGCGAGGGGTAACTGATTAAATTCTGAGGTTTACATTACCCAGAAATCCCTTGGGCCGTTTTCTCTCTCTTTCTTAGGCTGCAGACAGTTTTAAGCGGTTGATCCCAGAAGCTATATTAATATTTTACCCATAAGAGTAGTAATTACACCAAATGTTGGGCAAATATATATGTCTTGATTAACTAAAGAGCCAGATATTTCCCTGAGGAGTTGGTGGAGATCAAAACAGAGCTAAAAGGAGTGAATACTCACCTTCACCAGGTGGACCCAAGCACGATAATGTTACTGATAGTCTTCTGAATGTGTAAATGTAGATGTTTTATGTATTCAATATAGGTATTGTATTTATTCACGTTATTTAGTTTTGTAAATAAAAGCTGCACGTGTTCTTCTCAGGTACCTTTGCTGAGGAGTCAGACAAAGTGGTGTTCGGCCTGGTGTTCCCCATCAACACCTTTGAAATCCTCTACGTTCAGGTTGGTCCCATCTTTTCATCAATGGTTGTGGCCGCCGTCGAGTCTCACCTCCATCCACCTGAGTATAAACACCTTTTAGTCGAGGAGGGGGACGTGAGCTCAAGTTTCCCTAATTTGGCCATTTTGTAACCATAACGTTATAACTCCACTCCAAACAAACTGGCCAGCTGAGGTGAAGGAGGCCAATAAAGGGAAATGCCAAGAAGGTGGTTGTTGGGATTATTTTTGCGTCCAGCCCAATGAAAACTGAAACCTTTCTCCTCAGGATTAGCTATGACTTCATTAACGTTGATCAATTGCATGTAGCATCTGATTGTGTATTGTTTTTTTGACTCGTGGGTTTCTTTTCTTTCAGCTACACTACTATTTGTATTTGTGGAGAAGGTCCAACACTTTCAAGACCGTCGGTGACAAGCTGTCAACTTTCTTCAAAGGTCCGAGTTGGAGTCCTGGTAAACCTCGGCTAGGTGACCACGTAGACAATCCCAAGGTTGGTTAAAAACAAAGAAAATGCCTTGGTTACATCATTCCTGCAGGACGTATAATTTCACCACAATGCCCTCAGGCTTCATTACCCATCATTTTGACACACGCAAAACACAGGCTTAAATGACTCAAGAGCATTCCTTATTGAAGGATTCACATATTCTGCAACTTTTACAAGGAAGTGCCACATCCAATAAAAGCTGCAACGCCTTTGTAGAGGGAACACAATAAGTTCATTTTCACCGTCTTTTAAAAGGCAGTCTGCGGGATTAAAACCGCAAGCAGTCGAGTGTGAGTGTGTGTGTGTGTGCGTGCGTGCGTGCGTGTGCGTGTGTGTGTGCGCACATAGAATGACATACAGGCTCAAGTTGAATGCCCCGGCAGTTAGCTTTGAAATAACGCTGATGGTGTCACATATATACTTCCCTTCATGCTTCACACTTAAAGAAAAAAGAAAAAAGAAACTCCCCTTTGCCTTTACAATTAAATTAGCCCCTTAAACCCAGCAGGGCGGTTCTAAACACGGACGGAGCTGGAATTGAACCGGAATATCTTGAAAGGCTTTGCGTAGACGGCTGCTGGTTGATATCTGCCGGTGAGGGAAAGAAAGGAAAGGGAGGAGAGAGGGTCAGAACGTGTTGCAGCTCTTTGAGAATAAGCAGAGCACCGAGCTGGAATACCTACAGGACCGGGGACGGGATGCGGGTGGAACCCACATGTGGTGGTTTGGTTCCTCGGGATCCTGGGAAACCCCCCGAATTAGGGATGGGCCTCTATGATTGGACAGTTTTTTTTTTTGTGTTTTCTTTTTACTTCATTCCCAAAAAGGATGCAGTTTCAGCCCAAGGCCCTCAGGCTTAGTTACTTTGTTAGGAAGCTGAAAAAAACTGCTCAAGTGACTCAGGGAATTCTTAGGAAAGGACTGATGTATGACTGTGTGTTTGGGGGAAACTGCTACACCCAATAAATCCTGGATGACTTTGTAGATGGAACACAACAAACTCATTTTCACCGTTTTTAAAATTCAGCTTGAAGCGACAAAAGGCCTTTTAGTCATAAAGAATATAAACACATAAGAAGTAGAAAGGTCATCAGAGACGTTTGACTTTGATGAGTTCATTTTGGGCATTTTCTTTTTTTACAACATTCTCACTCACTCAATATTCAATCTATTTACAGAAGTATTTATTGTCACTGGCTGAGACCCATGCAGGACTAGTGTTGACCAGGACGGCATGCAAACATTGAACGTGATTTGGGAGCATAAACATTTGTAACATCCTGTGTTATTAACATGAGCATGCCATTACCATCAGCAACCGCAGTTGTCACCAAATCAACCAGGAATGAAATCTTAAAGGGAAGGTTTGGGCATCTTGAAGTGGGATTGTATGAGGTACTTATCCACAGTGTGTTGCCTACAGGAGATGGGGGTGGGCACACCTCCAGTTTGTAGAAACAGACAGAGTTACCGCACAGGAACAAAGTTGACGGGGGCAGCAACAAAACGTATTTTAGACACCTAAAAGAAACCCTTGCCCTGAGACAGCTATACAGTCCATGTTTCAGACAGGACTGAAGACCAGTGGAAGCATAGTACTCTTGATATTGATGTATGTTTTAAAAGTTGTCTAAACTACATTATGTTGCTGCTGCCGCCGTCCCAGCAGTACATAACGTCTCGTCCTGCTGCTACTGAATGCTTCTCCAAACTGGAAGCGTGCAGACTGCCATCTACTGTAGTTAATGGACTGACTATGGATAAGAACCTCATAGAGCCCCTGCTCTGAACGGTGCGACCACACTGTAAAACCTCTGAACATGTTACGAGAAACACGGAGTTGAACTTGAAGGAATCTTGTTATATAAGTACAAGGCATGCTGTCTGGTGTGAGAATCTGTCCAGATGATTGCAACAGAAATATGAGGGGTTGGGGAATTAAACATGTTTTATTTTCCATGTGCAGGTTACCGGACAGGGAGTGCCTCACGATCCCAGTTGGCCGCTGCCTTTACAACTTTATGTGGTCGTACACTTCTTGATGGCGCTGGGGACTTACCATGATCTGTTTGAAAACAAAATGGTGCGTATGTGTCGCAGATGGAAAACTGTAAATGTCGGCAGAGGAATTGTGCTTTTAAACTTGATTAGAAGGTTAGCTGCCTTGCTCAAAAGCACACTGACGGTCCTTTAGAAGGAGGAACGAGTGCATTTTACATTCCTTTATGCTTGGAGCGGGTTGAGTCTCCTGGTCACATGCTGGCTACTGTTATGTTTAGGCTACCGTAATCCCTCATACAAAGTATGACAAGGTGGTCCAGGGCTCTTAATTTAAGGCTGAGCGCTGCGTGTTTGTTTGCCAACATTATTTCACCCAATTATGCAGTTTGTTGTGGCTGCTCCACGGTCGGGCAGAGTCCTCTACTTAGCCAGGAGGAAAAGACCAGCTCTGTCTAACATCATGACAGAATGACTGATCGGCATTCCCCTTTAGAACAACCTTTGTCTATTATTTTCCACTCGACGAGCCAAGAGACCCCCTTCCTCCTCCGTCAGGAAAAAAAAAAGAAACAGGTCTCCTCAGCAGTTATCTTTGGAAGCCTCTTTTCCCCAGGCATAGTTTTGGTTAGCCAAAAAGTGCTGTCACGCCCAGCGCCTTCAAACTCCCAAATAAAATAAAATGGCCCTTCTTTTTTTTCTGATCACTACCTCCGTGGTGCTCCCTTCAGTTGTGGTCCCCCCCCCCTCATACACACACACACACACACACACAAACACACACCTCCCCATCCAGGGTCGAGGGTTCCCCTCCCTCTCGGCGAATGAAACACCAGCTGGTGGTCCGGCAGTGAACACAAACGCCTTAATTGTCGAGTCAACCATTTCCCAACCCAAATAGCCTTCAGGATGCAGCAATCAGGACTCGGACGGGAAAATAACAAAGTGAGCGCTGCGGCCCCGACGATAAATCATGTCACTGTTATGTATTTATACCCACATGTTCGCTAGGCGCTTATTTAGCTCGACAATTGATGACACACTGCCACAGAATTTATGGGCTTTGCGTTAATTCTAAGCCATGAAAACATGAAGTGAAGCTACTCTTCAATTACGTCATCAGCAGAACGTGTGCGTTTTTATTATAGGTTTGTGAAACAGTTACTATTAGATGCAGAGAGCGGAAGTGACCAAGTCTCATCTCAGAACAACTCTCCATTAGTGTGTTTATGATTGCAACATTTGGAATTTAAAGCACAAAAGAGCAACAACATGACATAATATGTTAACTTAGATTAGCTAAATTATGTGCAATCAGAGTCGAATTATGTGCAATTTGTACTGCCATAGTAGTTGTCAACACTAGTGGGAAAATACCTATGTACTGTACTACTTCACTACACTTTAAAAGGAAATGTGCTACTGTACTACGTTCATTTAATAACTATAGTTACTTTGCAGGTTCAGAGTACGTACTGGTGTGGACGGCAGGTTGGCTTGGATCAGAAGTCGCATAACAACACAAACAAACAGCAGTAGACCAGAAACTCCTGTGTTCTGCAAAGTAAAATGACTGATGTAGTCACTGGAGTGTTAGAGAGAGCTGGCGTTCACACTATTGATAACCTTATTGATCAGCTTACTGTGGTTACAGACGTTATCGCTCATGACTGAGTGGGCGTTTCCCTTTCGAAAGACACAGAAACGACTGGATGGAGTCGACCTTTAAGTATATTTTGATACTTTAAGTCAAAGACAGAGTTGACAAGATATATTGAGGTATTATGTGGTCTTTTCACTGAAGTAAAATATCTGAGTACTTCTTCCACCACTGAGCAAGGCACAGATATGTGATCGGATCATCAAATGGTCTGAAATAATACTTGATCTTTCTCTGCAAATTAATCATAAAGTTTTTGAATCATAGTTGTATAGTTCTATCATACAGATTACACATTTAAATTCTCTTCAAATTAGTAATAGTAAAGGATGTGTATTACCTGTAACTTACTGCAGTAACGTACTCCCGGAGCACTCCCTCAGTGGTAACTCTACTCTAGGAGAACGTGAACGTCGTCATAATAATGGCGGCAATAATGAGTTAATCTGCTTCGTCTCAGGGGACAATAGAATAACACGATCATTCGCTGCCACCAGATGTTCACTTTCCTTTCTGTCCTCTGCTGTTATTGCTGCAGTTTGACACTCGACCACATAAAGAAGTAACACGATGAAAGAATCGTGAAACATTTCTTCTTCCAAAACAAAAAAACAGAACATTTCTGTCAACGTGACTCGACCTGACGACTCTGAGGGGTCTGTGGAGGATTTTCTCTCGGCGTCTCGGACAGTCAGAACAAAAACAAAAATTATTCTCCACTCATTGCGCCTCTTACTAAAAATAACTGTGTCTGTAGCCTTTGAACCCTCCTGCGATGATCATTCAGCTTTAATACACTCTGATAGTCGTGTTCCTTCACTCTGATGGATGGATCGAGGCCAGAACCCCCCCTTGAAGGAACGATGCCTTCTGGGTCGTATGGGAGCAGTCGGTGAGATTTGGCTGTCAGGCTCTGTATTGAGTGTCGGAGAAATATAAACCCGAGCTGACAGCCCACGGCATCCTCAGGAGACACGGGGCTTCCAGCTGCTGCCCTCAGCCAAGGCCGCGGGTTAGAGAACACAAATTAGAACGTACATCGCGTCCTGTACCGCTCAGTTTTTTTGGTGTGTCTCCCAAATAGTTTGGAAAAGGTCAGTGAGAGTCTGCATGGGATTTGTGCTCGGATGTTGGTTGTTTTGGCTCCTCTCAGGGGGCTATCGGGATTCAAACTGCAGCCTCTTCCACCGCGGTCAAGTCCCCCGTCAAGACCCATCTGGGATGATTGGAGCATCTATGCAAACTAGGCATGTCAGTGTAAAGTAAGGAGCGGATTGCAGTTGCTGCAGGATACAGTATGTGCCAGCGCACTTATGCCGAAGGTCGGACATGTTTTGGTTGGCACTGCCAGGTAAACAGCCGAGCAGCCGTGCGGTTTACGACTGCTCTCCCAGTAAGGTCTCCTGCAATCGTAACGAAACCAGCCACAATATTAATTTAAGGTTTACATTCTAATGTATTTTTTTCCCCCAACCACATTTCTAATGGCATGCATGCACATCTTGATTCCTATAGATGCTGTCCCAGTTAACCATTCTGGGGATGACCGGCTACGTTCTGCTCACTCTCACTTCCCTGGGCTTCATCGTGGATCAGAGGTACAGTACTGACATTTGTTCATGTTGGCAGACTAAGAAGCAAAGAGAGGAAGGCTCTGGTTATCTATGACAGTGGTTCCCAAGCCTGGGGTTGACACTCTCCAAGGGGTCACAAGATGAATCAATGTATTTAAGATAAGAAAGAAGGACAACAACATATTTCTGCTACTACTGCTGAAATGATTTGTCATTTAGTCAATCTACAGTAAAAATGTTGACAACATATATGATGATCCATTAATTGTTTAAATCATAGACTGTATATAAGAAGTGGACGTAGTCATCGTGACGTCAGCCATTCATGTCTTTGAAGCCTCAAGTTCGTCGATTTTGCCGTCGTCATCTTGGATTATGTGGTTTTTTTTGCAACCAATGAACGGAAGTTACCATATTTGGAATGCGGGGGAGTGACGTAGAGACGACGTACGTATACGTCTCTGGTAGCGGCAGCGACCTGTCAATCAAAAATCGAACTGGTCGAACATTTGAGAGCCGTGTAATTTCTTGTGTCAGGTTTTAAATGGGAGTGAAATCTGCACAAAGCAAACAAGACGACGGTGAACACTTCTCACCCCGCTCCTCGTAGAACTGAACGGAGTGAAATCTGATGTGACGTCAGCCACAACTTATTTAAGGTTACGCCCACGTTGGTTTTTATTTGTTTTTAAATGACAGCCCAGCTTTTGGTTGGGATGTTTAGACAGCATTTCTTGGTAATTTAATTGATAGATTACTTAAAAATCCAGTACACACAAATAAGTCTTTGGTAGAACTTTGAGTAATATGAAAACTGACAAAAGGGTCATGAGTAGACATTGCTTGGGTCAAAAGAAAGAAAAGATTGGGAACTATTCATCTATGAGAGGTCAGATGTCTGAAGTCTCATTTAGTCTTTTAGAGATTAATATTCCAGGGGGAGATGGATAATAAAAAATGTGCCCTGAATTATTCGTTGAAAATGACTCATTTGGACCGACAGTTGCAAACTACTGAAACAGCAACCGCTGAAGGGACTGGAGTCTGTGAGGTTTCCTTCATCGCGTGCGTTTCCAAACAGCTGGATGTTGTTCTTCATTTATCACACAGAACCCCCCCGCTGTGTGCTGAGCTGATGGAACTCAATAACAAGGGAAATGCAAAAACTCAGTTCCACTAAAACATGTAAATGAACAAAAACAGACATGTAGTATTAAAATAACATTCTCTCGTCTGAATGGGACTTTATACCTCTTGTAGCTGTCCTGCTTGTAGCTCTAAGCGACCTCCTAATAGACCGCTACCCTCATTAATGTCAAAGGTCAAATCTATTTGAACTCAGTCAGCTCTGGTCTGTAATTATTCCTCCAACATCAACATCAAAATGCGTCCTGGAGTTGAAGGCCTGGACCTCAGTAAAGATGAAGGTACCCAGCTGAACTGTCATTAATCCTCATAGTGTTGTGCTGTTGGTTGTTGTGTCCTCATGTTCAGGCCAACCGCGGCTTTCTTGGAGATGCTACGCTGCGTCATCATGGTGACAATACAGAGGTACGGCGGCATGAAGCCCCTGCTGTCTTCACTGGCCGTCCCCACAGAGGTAAGACAACCTGTTACGATGCAACTTAAAGTAACCGTGTCATGACGGTGGCGTACGCACCTGTTTTTTAACATTATCAGCAGAGTGTACGGGCAGTTATCAACAGTTATCACCACCATGAAAGCGAAACTAAATGTTGTGGATAGAAACAGAAACACTTCAGGTTTAAGCAACAAAGCTGTTTAGGTTTAGGAAATAAATCATGGTTTGAGGTAGAATAAGTACTTTGTAAATTACGTAACAAAGTTAGTAAAATGAGTCGTTGGCTTTGCACAGCTTGTATTTTTATTGGTGATTTGATGATGACTGTCTTCTGAGCTTACCAGTAGGTTTAGCAGGCTCCTTCTAAGCCTTCCTATGAGGCTGATATCCTCTGATGACACCCATTCAACCTGCTGATAACATCCAGAGTGGGTGGTATACTTTATCCATTACTCAAAACAAAGTCAACACACAACAAGATAACACTTCTGGCTTCATTAACCAGCTGTTCTGGAGCTTTCCATCATAACACAAGAGCTTCATTCATGATTGTTACATTCTTCTCTTCATATTACGATTCAACTGTATCACAAACTGCTTCCAAAACGATCTAATATAATAGTTCACTGTCATGGTTCACATAATGACATGTGGTGGAAATAGTTTGGATGAACGCTGGGCCTAGGCTAGCCAGCCTAGCCTAGCTAGCCTAGCCTGAGCGTGAACCAGAGAACCAATTTGTGTCCAAAATACAGTTTAAACACAAGAGACATAATGAGCCAGTAGCTGGTGTAGAATGCATGCAGACTGTGTGTTGAGCCAATTACTGAACGTATGTCTTTTGTCACAACGTATTGAAGAAAACATCCCACGTCCTAAACTATGGGAAGTTAATTAGATAAGTAGAGAGCGTGGAGTCGGTTGGGACTTCTTGAACAGTTATGAAAATGATTTGATCCCTGAACAGAGACAAGTGCCTGCTAACAATTCATCAAGTTTTTTAGAGCCAAACCCAAATGTGAATGGCACAATTTTGCACATTTTCCCACAATTCTGCCTCCCTGGGTGGGCTGGGACACCTTGTTCTGGACTAAAAGATCTCATTTAAACAAATAACAAACTGCAGTCTAAATTCGAACACAATTTATCTGGAGTCGTCATAAACACTCACTCAGTGACTTCACAGTGGGTCTTATTCACTTAGGAGAAGCCTTTGTCTTGTTATTGTCTGCTTTTTGTTGATTTGTAACAAGGTAGGAACTATAAACAATTGTGTCCCGATCGCCGCACGAAGAACAGACTAAAAAGTTTGGCATAACTAAAAAAAAAAAAAAGCCTGGTCAAAGAAAAGATCCAAAAATCTACTTAAGTGGGTGTGGCTGAGAATGAGCATTGTGGATATTTGCATAGTCACTTTCTAACTTGCTAAAAAGACTCAACTGTCCCACTGGAAACAGGAAATATGAAGGAAAATGTATCTATATGGTGATAATGAGATCATCATAAGGAATTCTGACATTAGAACTCTCTCGGAAATAAACGGCATCATGTTTCCCTGATGTGTGTGTGTGTGTGTAGCCTGTTATTGTCTGTGTTGTGTGGTCTGCTCTGTGTGTGTGTGTGTGTGTGTGTGTGTGTGTGTGTGTGTGTGTGTGTGTGTGTG